TGGTATACACCAACAAATCATCACTATCTCTTGGTTGCAACATAGATCTTTGTGTCGATAGGAAACAATTATTTTGTAAGAAACAGAACTGAGAAAGGACTTTTACCATTCAAGACAACAGAAGGCATTAGGTTGATAAGAAAACAAGTGGTAGCAACCGCATCAGCCCAGAAGACTTTAGGAATAGTCTAGATATCTAATATCTCAATAATTTCTACAAGCCTTAATGTCTACATCCATCTTCGATGTCACCGTATCCCAACACATGAACCTACCTGAAAATCACTTGAGAATTGATTAGCACAGAGTCTCTATCTTCAACCAATTTACTTGCGGATAATAGTCATTTGGACACAAAGAAAACATGAAAGACCTCTCTCAAAAACAAACCATGTCCCTTTGAGAACCTTAGCTACACAGGCCCAATCCTAGTAAGTAGTAACCCTTGATTGACATCTATTGATTAGTACCACATTTTCCTTGATGATGCGATATTCGACAAAGTCAAATCGGTAGCTGGTCACAAATGAAAAGTGGTTTCATATGCCAAGAACCATCCCCCCCTAGCGGTCATTCTCATCTTACGGGTTAAGAAACATATTTTCTTTATAGTTTGGTCACGATACCGTCCTTTAGGATATGATATGTAACCATTCAACCCATTTTATGGCGTTCTTCAAATTCCAAGAAATTGAAATAGCCAAATGGGAAACTCCTTTATGACAGGCTTAAAAAGGAGAGAAATTGACAATGACAATTGAGCTCTCCACACGTCCCTAAAAAATGTGGGCGAGTGTCTCGCCAAATGAATTGGAAATGAGTACAAATCATTTGACGATGTTTTCCGTTTGTCATTCAAAACATAGAAAAGGTTATGATTTTCTCGATTTATAAATCTATATATATATATATATATACAAAGATTCATAAGAACATGATAAAAAATAAAGAATACTTCATTCTTTAATAGTGTTATGGGTTTGGTTATCTGGTGATGACAGAATCAAACATAAAGAAGTAGCCGAAGTAATGTGAGGTGTCCAAATTTAAAGAATGTCGAAACAATCTCATATTGACGCGGTCACACTATTGGAAAATCCGAGTTACGAGATACCCAAAGTAGATTCGTGAATACGAACTGCCTTATTCTAGATTTGTTGAAGGGTTTAGAGATACACATTGGATTTCAAATGGTAAGGATTCCAAGAAACCAGTTGGTTTGTAATCACATGCGGAGGTGTAATTGTAATTTTGAAATCCTTAAAACACACGGTATCTCTTTGTTCACCATGGAATCTATTCTCATAGCCATGGAAAATTGTGGAGAAGAACCTAAATGAATCTACATCCTAAGATGAAGTAATAGTAAAAATGGTTTAATAGAAAGGCTACACATATTCGTCAAAAACATAACACTGTTCGACTACTACTCTCCATTAGTGTTATCTCTATTGATTATAAGAAGTGAAAGGATAACACAGATCTGCTAACCAAATAGTTAGATCAAGAGTTGGTGAGTAAGTTACCAAGGAGAATGGGACTAAAGCACATGACTGGGTAAGTATGTACGAAGGAAACTCAAATAGCTGGTAATACCAAGATCTAGGTTTAATGGAGCACCTAATTGAATGAACTAAGTTTGATCATCGTGGCAGTGAGTCGTATAAGGTTAAGGCTATGGCTTTTAATGATGCTAGTGAGATTAGGTCATTTATAAGTGAATGGTGAGGGATCAATTCCTTACAATTCTCGTAGAACCAAACAAGTGTTCATGACCATAACAAACACACCAATGAGGATTTTACTATGTCAAGAAGAATCTTGTGTGAAGTATGTTAACGTATACACAAACGGTTGAACTGCTCAAAGACATCGCATCTATTGATTCACTAGTAAACTAGATATACTTCACAAAGGAAGGTTCAGAGGATAACACCTACCTATACTATATAGGGTTCAACCACTGAACTTGAATGTTATAATTTATGTATTAGTCGGAACAATTTCCCTTCATTTAGAGGATTGTTGGAAAATGAAGTGGATGAGAAATTGGTCTTGTTATGAGGTTATAGAAATGGAGAAGTTCAAGACCTTTGGCTTTTCATATTTCAAAAGCTTTTTCAGTTACGAGACCTCTCTGTTTCTATCATCTGTAACGTACTTCTTTTATGTGACCCATCAAATATCTCACCTAGAGAAGGAAGTGAAACTCTCTTCACTCGTAATTAGACAACAAAATATTACCCTTAAAGAAACTGAGAGCATGGAAGTTCGGGCAAAAAGGCAAAGGTCGCACACGATCTATATCCTAGGAAATCGGCGCACAGGTTAGGGGAACCAGTTTGAAGGAAACCATGTCCAACAATGGCCTCGACTCAAAAACCTTGTTTCTTCTTCTTTATTTGTTTCTTCTAGAGGTCGCATACAACCTATTGGTTTGAGCTAAGTTTCCAACAGTATTCAGTCAAAATAAGGATCATTTTAGTCATTTTGTTTTTTTAACCGGATTTGGCATAATGAAATTGATTGCAAAGTTCCACTACCTACTTTAGCCAATATTTTAGTTCAATGGTTCATATGTAAGTTGACTAATACTTGACGGCTTCCATTGGTGTTATCCCTTTATATCATGTGTTCTATCAATGTTTACCATTTGTAGGGAAAAAGGGGATATTGTAACTTTTGACTAGGTACATAGTCCAAGTGATTGATTATTAGTCAAATGTCATAAATACCCTTGAACGAGTTAAAGAATCCTATAGACCTAAATTAAGACCATGACAATTTCAATTTAAGAGTTGCCAAAAAAAAAAGGAAACTTTGCACTTCTCATAGAACATCCCAATATAGCAATTTTAAAGGAAGAAATACTTAATAAGGAGATAACATACAAAAGAGAGAATAGTTAGTTACGCATTCAAGAAAACAGCTACCTGAATGCAAAATTTCGCACTTCTGAGCTTTTAATTTCATCCATCCTCTGCTATATTTAATATGGAAAACAAAGTATATGTCCATTATAACATACAATGTTACAAAATAGAATATTGGTGCTTATAAGACCAGTACCTGGACATAAACGTCATAGAAATCACATATTTTATCTTCCATCTCATGGTCCATATTGTATTTTGCTTTATAAGTTGCAGGCAACTCCATTGTCTTATTACTTGAACGATCCTAATTCGCAAGGTTGAATGTTATGTAACATAAACCAAACCAAACCAAACCAAACATTCAAGGTGGGTTTTTATGGGTTGATACGTATGCAGACCCGCCTTCCGCTCCAAGGAGTAGAGTGGTTGTTTCGTGAAGACCCCAGTGAGTGTTATGTTATATGCTGAATCAAAATCTATGATGAAAAATGACTGCATTACCTGGCATATATAAAACGAGTTATTTCACAAAATTTGATTCCAGTGGTTCATGATCAAACAATGAGACCATGACTAGGATTGTTTTATGGACTTCACTATATTTTAGTGGTGTGAGATGGGGTAAACTTTTTTATGTTTTATGTTGCAATCGGTCAGCATACTTCTTGAATGTATTAGGGCCAAAGCAAGGCCATTTCATCAATAAAGCTTTCTAAGCCATCCCTAATCGAGCTCGATCCTAGTATAGATTAGGCTTTGTGAGCCTATATGAGCTTGCATGAGCCACAAGGTGTAATTCATGTTTTATGTCACTAGTCTTAGTCTCTTTAGGATCTTTAATTTTAATTTGGAGAGCATAGTATCTAATTTTACATGAGCCAATAGGAACCTACAAGCCAAGCCAAGGCTCAAGCCCATAGGAACCAAGCTTTTACGCATTGAGCCAAACCAAAGGTTCAAGCTTTTGGAGAGCCAAGCCCAAGCTTCAGTCTCTAAAGTTCGATGAGCCAAAAGGCGAGCCATAGCTACTAATCGTTTTCAAAGCTCAAGCTTTCAAGCAAGCTCAGCCTTCACTCTTCTCAAATTAGCCCCAATTGTATTACTTATATCGTCAATATCATAATGTTTCAGCACCTATTCAGCTTCAAAAATATAGGCGAGCCTTGGAGCAACTACTCCTCTATGACTATAAGGTCATATGTTCTAGGTCACAGAAACAACCTCTTGGCAAAAAGGTGAAGCTACATACAAGGAATTCCCTCCCCAACCTACATAAACCTAAGGATTCTCAACCTTGAGGGCAAGCTCAACCGACAAACAAACGTCTATAGGTCGCCAGTTCCAGTCTTTTTAGGGGCTGTTTGGTTCATGGATTTGGATGGAATTGAAAGGAATTGGAATGACCAAATCCTTTGACCAAATTCCAAATACAATGTTTGGTTCATGGAATAAAAATGATGGAATCCTTTCAATTCCAATAAATTCATTCACTCGTGGATTTTACATTCCACGACCATACCCTCAGATTTCAATTCATTTCCGACAAATTCCTTTCCTAATCCAAATTCATTCAACGTTGCGTCTACCATCTCATCTAATTGATCTCTGGTTCGATCTCCATCTGGTATGCTCTCGCTCTCTCTCTCTCTCTCTCTATCTCTCTATCTCTCTCGTAATTTCTCCATCTATACGAGATCGATAAACAACATATATAATCAAGGAATCAATTCAAGATAACTAACTATCGATATCACTAGTCCAATTCCGTTATTCAAAAATCATAAAAAGTCATTTGTTGATATTTAATTCCGATTCCAAAGTTGAATTCCGTGAACCAAACAAAAAAATTCCAATCCATTAAGAATTGCATTCCAATTCCATGCAACCAAACGCAATCACAAGGCATGGTCAAATTCCATCAAATTTCATTCCATTCCTACTAAGTCAAATTCATTTGATGAATTCCAATTCCATCGAATTTCATTCTACGAACCAAACACCCCCTTATAGTTGGACAAAGGGATTTTCCTGCCTGCGTACGTACAAGCTGGCCCAGACACCCACAGTCAGGAAAATCCCTTTGTCCAGCTACCAAAGAGAGAGGAGTGGGGGATGAGTATTAGTCAGATTAAAAAGGAGGTAGCTGAGAGGATTAGATTGCGCACCCTGCCTATGGAAACAAAGGTAGAATTTGGTAGATTGTTCCATTTTTTACAAACATGATGATCTAATGCACCAAATTGCCAAAGTAAAGCAGACCTCATAAAGAAGGTAAAAGATCATCCAATTATTTTCTTACTCGTAGGAGACAACACGCTTCTAGACACATCTATAGCTAAACAAACATGGTCCGCTAAAGGTCCATGATAAAAATCATATCATGATCGTAATGGTTTTAAATACCGCTAATCTGGCAACAGTCTCGAGCTTTTGCTCAAGTTCCTGAGGCAATCTGCATTTAGTTGCTTCTGAATCATCTACATCTTGAACATCACCATGCAATTGTCTTGCTGCAAAAGAAACGCAGAGATAATTCAATATGGTCCTTATCATAATATGCCAAATTCCCTGCTATTACTTCTTGTAACATCCATAACATTTAATTGAGAAAACATCCCCCCCCCCCCCCAAAGCGTCCCATGAAAACTGCAACATTTCATTGGGAACATAGATGTCTTGAATACTCTTCAGTTTCAAAATCCTAATCAATATCATCAAGCCACGGGCATGTAGCTCAATCGGCAACGGGGTGGGGTGACTTTGCCCAAATAAAAGATGGGTCATGGTTCCCAACCCCCCCCCCCCCCCCGGCACGGCTAGCCTCAGCCACTGAGTGAGCCAAAGAATGCCCCTCCACGTTGGTGTCCATGGAGGGGGGGTTCTGTGTGGGGCCCGGATGGAGTTTCCAGTAATCAACTTTTTGCCCAAATCAATATCATCAATCTTTTGATGACGATGGGCAAGTAATCATAGTGCCAAGCAAGAAATTATTGTAATTTTCATGAGATAGGTGGGAAATTAGTTATCTGATAAAACATGGGGACTTACACTTTGCAACCATGGTCTCCATCACCAATATAGTACTTTCAAGAATTGATCCATTCACCTTACCACCAGATTCCTCCTTAGTGTGCATTGGCGAAGTACTCTGAAATTACAAAATCAATATTATTGCAAGTACACTTCTAAAGATTACACAACATCAGTAAGTTACACTCCATCAGCCCAATAAGATTAAAATGTTTGTCTGGCCACATAGTTTAACAGACGTTTCTAACTATTATTCAAATGTCTAAATACCCTTACAATAATGCCAAAATATGAGTTGTGGAGCAAAATCAATATCATCAATGATTTGGAATGTGGAGATTGATGGATCGGCAAACTTTTTTGCAAGTATCATGGGACATCCCAAAAATGGAAAGTTTTAACAATGTTATGGGACAAAGGGAGTACTAACAATATAGAAAATGATTCGACTCCGAGGCCATTAGCCTACCCTGCAAACAACATTTAGAATTTTCTAAAGACATACTACCAAAGAGTAAAGAAAGTCAAACAAACAAATACCACATTTATGAACTCCCATTTCCAATACACACAGAATATCATTAAAATTTTCATCATTCGTAGCCAAAAAGCCTGTAGCTCAGGATGCTAAAAAACTAAACATGAAATTATATTTCAATTCTTGCATTTTATCCTTACTGATATGCATGTGAAAGGACACTTTAACTGAGAAAATATACTTTAGTCAGCAATGAAATAAAACACTCCCTTTTTCCCATGAATGTTTGACTAGCCACATGTTCATGGACAATGTTTTGACTCTGTCATATATCCAAAATATCAATCAATAAAGACGCAATAAAAAGATGTTGGGATCCCGAATCAATGGCATTAATATGTTTCTAACAAAGACAGTGGGAATATAAGCAATTTCAACATATAAAGTTTATTAACAAGAAAAGGTTGAAATTTTCATAGGTTATCTCCAAATGGAAATAGTTGCAATTTTAAAGTTATAAACAAGACAGGGAAATTGGACAACTCTAAAAAGCCAGTTGCAGAACATTCCACATTTACCAAAGAAAAATCATGTCAAGGAGCGTACTTGGGTGTGCATGTGCTTGTGTGTATACTGTATATACTCACTGCTGCCTGCACCGTAGAAGGAACATTTAGGTCAGGAAGCTCGACTCTTCCTTTATTGAGCGAGTGTTCTTCATCGATGTTTCTTGTTAATGTTATGGATTGCATAGCACATATAGCAGCTCGATCAAGTATCGTTCCAGAAGGAGATCCTGATTTGATGCCAGTATCAGAAAGATCTTTCTTTGAGACTGTAACTGAAGCACTTAAAAGAGTTTGCTTCCTGTTATCATAGTTTTGCTCGGTTGTGGATTTCACCCTTCCATGCCCCATTTTTTGTGTTTTTGGTGGCTTGAACAACATTGATCCCTTCCAGGACTTCTGACATAGCAGTCCTCTGCTTTTGTGGTAGACTTCTGATATGAATGCATGGTCGATTAATTGTTGAGGACTAAACACCCCCCCCCCCCCCCCGGGACACTATTCATAGAATTTCATTGCACCCAAAAAAAGAGAAAAGCAACTTCAGAGCAATCTAGAAACACCAGATGATATATGAAAGATGAATCCAAATCAAGTTGAGACTTTTGCTGCCTGGGAAGGCTTGTCATTAAAATGAGAGACAGGTGTTCATATGTGGATCTTATTAAGGGAGACCACGGTGCACCAACGCTCTGCAGTTTGCGAGGGTTGAGGATAGAGTTTTTGTATGTAGACATCCATTTGCAATTTCCAAAGAGGATGTTTCTATGATCAATTAAGGTATTCAATGAATAAAAACATATATTATTTTCTACCTACAATACAGTACTTTATCTTTCATTTTCCACCAATTTGTCTATATTCAAGAATCCGTACTCTTTCAGAAACAAGCATTGAAATAGTTTTATTTTGGTTGCCTTGTTATTGGCAGGAACTATCTCCTCTATTGCTGCTTTGAGGTTGAAGCAATCACATAAATATAGCAATTATTGCTTCTCAAAGAAAGACAATAGAATGTAAAATAGTTTGCTAAAGACCATGAAGGTAAAAATAATTTGCTAAAAGATCATTCATTAAAACCGAATGCTAATACTAATTCTACCAAAAAAGTCGAGAAAATCATATAAAAGAGTATGCAAGATCTTACTTTTGCTCATCCTTCTCCTTCTTAAGAATGATGGTGGAGCACGCTTCTTGACTAATCTTCTTGATGAAACCGCTTCTGCAAAAAAAGGAGTTAATAGTCGAAAGCAATTCCTACTAGTGTATCCTGAAAGGCTAAAATCAGCCAAAAGTAAATCATGACAAAAAGAAAAGATGTAGATGCCATAATCGGTGAAGCAAGAATCAATCTCTTATGAGAATAATAAATGAACAAATAACTAAAAATCTTCCCCATATGTTCACTTTTGATCTACCCTTGTGTCTCAACAGCCCCTCTTGGAAGAAAATTTCCATCTCAGTCAGGCATCTAACGGTCTTCATTGGAGATGACCAAACAATATCAAGTTGTGTTCCTGAACGAGTGCCACTCCAGCCATCTATTGGATATTTTTGTGTCTAAGATCGGTAAGTCGTCAGCTATAATAATGAGGCTATTAGCCTATAAGATGCAAAGAGAAAGTTTCATGCCAAATATATGATCTGGTAGTTTGAATGCAGACTCTTGACTGCGAAAAGTCATACCAATGTCCATAGAAATGCATTTCATGAAGAATTATTAAAGACAAATGAATGTCGTTCAAGCCAAATAAACAGAGTAACTAAATGTCACATCAGGAAGCAAATCAAGTAATGTAGTACATCATAAAACATATGGAAAAGACATCTAGTCTAGATATGTTGCTACTCAACAGAAACTTCGCTAATGAGGCACTAGCATTTGTCCAACAAATTATCATCTTGACTTCCTCATGTAGGCAGATTATGAGAACGAAGCTAGTCATAAATTCGAATGATAATAGATTAAAGCCTATCAAGTACTTGCTCAATGGAAAGGGATTGCTTACAAAGTAACAAATTTCGAATTTATGCCAAAAACATCAAATTTCAAACTTAAGCCATGTGACTGGATGACAGAGGAGCATATATCATGTTCATCGAGCAAGAATAATACTAGCCATCCCCCAATAAAGAATTAGGTTGAAGGAGAATTCCTAGTCATTGTACCCACATGGTGGTACAGTACTTCAGATGAAAAATTTCAAGCAAGGCTCCTGAAGATACGTAAGGTTAGTTCTGTTCCACACCTCTATAATTTTCAGCTACCTTTATAATTATTATCACTACAAAACAGATCAAGTGAATCTGTTTCTAATAAATACAATTCAGAGAGTTTTCAGTTCTTTTGCTTGTCATAATATATAAATATTTGAATTACAACGCATTCTATCAAAAACTTCCCTGCCTTACATGATCTTATGTGGATTTGAAACCTACATAACGCTAATTCAGAGAACCAGGTTCCCTTAGAGGTTGGAATGTAGATTCTACAACTTAAAAGTGGAGGAGCTTAGAAAAGGCTGGTTTGAAGAAGAGCAACCACCGTCTTCAGTAGGCAAGTAGGCAACTGAATTGAGAAAAGGAAAAAGAAGCAAGACAAGGAAGAAAAGAGAAAAGATATGGATATGATTTATGATCCATAAAATGCCGCCAAGTCAAGAGAATGTTCAACAAAAAACAAGCTAATGCGTTAAAAAATATGGACAAGCATATAGTCCCACATTGGCCTAGAAGTAAAGAAAGAAAATCCTTAATATACTTTGATGGACTCGCCGCAAATGTTTCATAGTTGTATATCGGGCCTTTCCAAGTGATTGGACCACAAGTCACGATACCATGGTAGAGCCTGTTAGAAATATAATTAACTTAACATGATCACACATTAAGAACTACTTCACTTCAGTTGGACTTCAACCATGAGTTTCCCATAGCAACAGGCGGGCCTTGGCAGATTAGCTCCAGAAGGCTGCCAAGGATTGGCTCTATGAGCATATGAGGCTCATCGACATCATACATAACGCTTTATCGAAGAGTATGATTTAAGGACGAGTATCGGCTTAGTAGACATAAATGACCTCGGAACTGTAATAGGAAGGTTATTAGAAAATATGGGCTTTAGTTGGTGTGCAAGGTGTTGGCCAAGACAGCTGTCATGGTTGTGCTAACACCGACGGGTAGAAAATTATATGGCTCGTTGACATCATACATCAGGAATGAGCAAAGAGCTCGGTTTAAGGGGGAATCCCTTAGTTCATATCACAGCCTCATAATCATAAGATGGTGATCTTACGGAAATGTGCACAAGTACGGGTTGGAAGTAGAAAAAGAGAAACACTTATCAGACACTAATGGACTTAAGCTTATGTGTAATGACATTGGGCCTACGCAAGTAATTGGACCCCATCCAGTAGCGTGCTGATTTCCATTCCCCTCTAAGCAAACGTCAAAAGACTGACAAATCTAATCGAGTTTAGAAGTAGCAGAAGAGAGACAGGATCAACCAAAATAACAGGAAAAAGATAGGAACATATAGGGTAGGAAGAGTGGAATTCACATAGCCAAGCCTATTAAATTTACCCACGCAGACAAGTAAATTTACACTCTAGGTACTAACTGCATAATACTTAAACCATGAATATGGCAATCTTTATTACTCGGCACATATTTAAATGAGTTAAACAGTCACTTAAAGTATTAATGTTGAGTTTCTTTACATATATATAGATATAAATATATATATATATATATATATATCTCAATTATGGAACATTGTTTATCTTTTTTATGAACTCTAAATAGATATGCAGAGAAGACCATAAGTTGTGTGCCAAAAAGTAAATGCAACAATTATAGCGGGACAAAGGGAGTATTATTTTTCATACACTTTTACGATTCTCCCTAATAACCCCCCCCCCCCCCAGCACTTTTCTCTTCTCTTCTTTTGAATATCATAGGAAAGGATGGAATTCCTATAAGACTTGGGAGTAGGTAGAAGATTTTGAGCAATCTTCATTGGATAAGAACAAATGAGTGGACCAAGAACATTTTAGTACAATACGAAAACAGACAGGGGGAAGGGGCAGAGCAAAATGTTTTAGTTTTAGAAATTGTTGCCGTACCAAACCATACGTAAAACAATCTTGCAGCACGAAGTAGTAGGAAGTCATTAAGTACATGGTGAAATTTAATAGGAGGTGGAACTTCAAGAGGAAAATCCCAAGACCTAATGCATGCCATTTGCGATATCATTACAAATTAACAAATGCATTACGCACTTGTATGAGCAAACATGAATAGCCTAAGTAAATCTACGTGCAAGAACCTGATGCAATTTTTTATGTTTGCAATGCCAAGATTTGTTATGTTTAGCATTTTCCTTTAAAAATAAAATTATCATTCAAAAAGGACCAACTACACAAAACTGATTGAGGATATCAATGGGGGGTAGGCAAGTAGCAAGTAAGAAATGGAAGATTATGTGTAGTTATCAGCCGTAAATAATATTTCTTCTGCTTTCCTTTTTGGCCTATCATAACGAATTTAAGATAATATGTTTGTTGTTTTAAAGTAAGGTGGTGCCCAATGCTAAATTGGAAGAATTGAGAAATCAAGAATCAACGAGTAGAATGCAACTTCGTTAGTTCGGATGTAGAAGGTATGGGACCAAGTGATTATGCTTAATGGCCAATAGATCATTCTCATTACTTTGTTCACGACAGTGTTCTAAAATCACCACGGCAGCCGCCATGGCGCGCCATGACTCAAGGCTCATGTTTGACGCCACGTCAAACTTGTGGCATGCCAAGGCCCAATACACGGTTTTTGTAACGAGATATTTAATGTTATTTATCTTTTTAGTGACTTACTTTCTAGTTTTAAGTATATAAGCTAATTGAAATTGTTTAATATCACTGGTTCATTGAGTAATAGTATACATGTGTATAAATATATATACAGCATACAATTTTGCCACCACAAGTCAGGCCTTGAAAAAAGGTGTGGCCTCGCCGTGGCTCCTAAGGCTTGACCGCGCCGCCACACCATGTCTCACGCCATTTAGAACCTCGGTTCATGATATCGAAGAGATTGCCTATAATGTTGGTTCAAAATTAATGAAGTTGGATTGTGCAAGGAAGCATATTTGGAGACCGACAATCTCATCTTCAATATATATATTGATTTGGTTGAAAGGATGTTCCCATGATTACCAAGAGGAAACTATGCCCAACAAGTCACACAAGGAGGTTTGCATGACTTGGAACCCTCATGATGCTAGATCTCGTATGCAGAATGTTTCCAGAGGAATTTTGGTCCTTGGGGTGCCTCCCGAGAGAGAGTAGAATATATCATGGTTGAGAGAGAGTATGATCATGTAAATGAGTTAAATGTCTTTTACCAATTATGTTTTATATGTATAGGTAGCCACAAGGCCTTGTTTCTCTTAAGACACCAAAGATCCCCTTCAGGTTAAGCCTATGTAGGGTAGTTGCTCCAAAATGTTTTTATTGGGCTTTGGGTCTACCCCTTTATGGATGCCTAATCGGGCCTTTGTTTGATTAAATTCCTTTGGCTTATATTCATTGGTCATAGAATTAAATATAGTCGTCAAAGAACCTGCCAACACACTTGACAACAAGCCTTATCGCACACGACTAGGAGGTCGAGATTGGACGGCATGAGGGATTCTTCAAGCTATAGATTGTCATCAGCTCAACCACTAAAATCAGGACATGGCTTGTTCCTACCCTTAATCGGGCATAGGAGATGCATGAAATCAATGTTGAGTCAACAACAATCCAGAAGGGCACCACCAACCGAGATCAGGCATTTGGTAAAGTCAGACCGATAGGTGTTTATAAGTGGGGGTCTCCACAGAAACAACCTATTTGCACTCTAGGGTAGAGGTCGGGTCTGCGTACATCCCACCATAACCCCAACTCCAACTGTTATCTTCTGGCTAGTTTGGTTTAGGCTGATCGGTGTCTTCATTCAAGTGGCGGTACATAAAAGGAACGAAAGAACACAACTTGATAAATATACTACCATTGGAGATGCTATAGTAGTTACTAAGATTAACATAAGTAATGGGGGGATTAATAACTCCTACTTCAAGGGGTAACATTTTTGCTAGGAATATATGGGAAAAGCATATTCCCTAGGTTCAGACGAAGGCATTGAGGTTTGTTGTGCTGAAAGGATGCCCTAACTTGACAACCTAACCATCTTCCACAAGAGATCTTTGTGGGCAAACTTAGTCCCACGGCTGGTATTAAGGTTTCCAAACATAAAAAGTACAATTAACAACACATGAGAATCTTCGTGTGTTTATGTGTGTAGATGGTCTAGCAAAAGATTGTTTGTATGTTAATAGTAGAATTTGCCATAATTCAGGTTCCGAGGATGAAGATGCAACATGGTTATAAAATAATGTAGTAAGAATGCAAATGTTAAACTACATATCTAGCCAAATGAGAACCAAAAGTAGTATAGAGAATAAGTGAAGAATATTCAAAGAAGATTATGTTAGCATCATTTGAAGATAAGGTCATGATGAATAAAATTAGAACTCTATCTGTACCAAAGAGATATGAGTTTTATCAAGTAGAGGGAATTAGGAGAGGCAAAGTTAGGCCAAAGTAGCAAAAGCATTTCATATGCAAAAACATAGTATGCTGGGAATACAATTCATGTAGCTTAGTCCATTACGTTTTGACCATCTTCAATCTACGAAGTTGTTTCGAAAATAGTTATAGACATTCAATAACACCATGTTACATAAAAGTGTTGAGAGTATATAAATCATTAATGAATAATAAAACAATTTATCAAACCCTTTTTCAAAAAGCTATTTTGGTAAAGTAGGTCCCAGTGATATCCCAATAAATGGCATCGATCTATCAAGAATTTTAGCACACCCTTCCACCCTCACCCTCCAAACGACAAGTTTATAGCACGTGCTATGAAAAGTATTGAAAGACATTCAAACATAACTTACATTAGATAAAACCTATGGGTTATGTAATTTTCAAAGAATTTACACAGCCTATTAAGTCGACCCCCAGAAGTATGATGATGAAGAAATGGATTGAGTGTAGATACATGCGAAAGCATGAAAAAAAAATAATAATATTGGTCATATATAAGTTGCATTACATTGGATATAGCCAATATGGAAATTGCATGCATGCACCAAGCTCATAAAGATCAAGCAAGTCAACATGAACAATTTGGTAGATTCTTAAATCCAAAACAGCAACACAGATAACTAAAGATGTGATTTTAAGCTAGCAATTTATGTTCTAAATGGTAGGCATTCTTGGTAGGTTCCCCATCACTGGAAAAGGCATATATCGTCATACTACTAGACATATGGATATCATTAGTTAATTATGAAGGCATAATATAACAATGAAAGGCTGCAAATTCTACGAAATAGCTCAAGCCATTTTAGGACTCCATTACTACATTAAACACTAAAATAGAAAAGGTGTAACCAAGCAATGGAACAGGTTACAACCCACAACACTCATTAAATATTCCTACGAGAAGGTTCTAAGTTGATAACTTCAGTTGTGAGGCCCCCCTGGCTTCTAGTTTTTCTTTTATTGGGAACATCTCTTGGTACAAAGCGATACTCCATCTGTAAGACCACCAAGCACAAGATATTTGTGAAGTCATCAAACAGTTATCTGACCTGGAGTGTCAGGCAAGAAAAGTCTCAACAAGATAAACCCAACAACAATGTAACATCAGCTAGATAAAGATAGCATAGTTTGACTCCTTGAGAACCATCAAACTAATTAGAGCAGTTTCATCATATGAAAGATCTGCAGAATTTACTTCTGACAGCACAAAATATTAATGCATCCCTGTTCTGAAACAGCATTTTTTTACATAACAAGCAGAAATATCATAAGTGCATGTAATCTCTTTTATAATGTAAACAGTATCTGAACTTAATCGGTAGCTTTAACATTTGCAAAAGTTTTCAGAAAGAGAAGATAAACAAATATAATCAATGAACCATTATACATATCCATGTTTTAACACTAAGGACAACCCTGGTGCACCAAAGCTCATCGGCTTTGAGATGATTGTGGAGGAAACTCCTTCTTCACAACCTTATTCTTGCAATTTGCATAAAAGATAGTTTCTGTGACACAAACCTATCACCTTCGGGTCACAAAGGAATAAGCTTACTAGTTGCTCCAAGGCTTGCCCCTTAATCCATCTTTTAACTCTACTATGTGGTAACTCAGAAGTTACACATTTCCAGGAAATTGCCCTGCAATCTGCCTGGTTTTTGTAATTGAAGTCCAACTGATTCAATTCAAAGCCTGTCAAATTAAAAATTATGCTTTTGCCAGAGGGCAATGAAGCCAATTGGGTCTTCATCCGAAAGTGAGATCTGATCAAGCACTTTAGGGAGATCACATCCCCCTGTTCTGAGAAGAGGTCATTCAAACTCAGCCTCCCTGGTGCTCATGCTGGCATACTGAAGAACAAACTCACTTATCATCAACATCCAAGCCACAAAGAGCCGTTCCATAGAATGGGACCAGGAATTGACAAGCAAACAGGGGATTCTGATATAAACAAGTGAATACCCCCTCACCACACCTTGGTGTGTCCTGCCCCTAAGAGTTGTAGACACTTGCCATGTGAAAATGGCAAAGATCTACTTAGGCTTTGTTTGGCTAACTAGCTAATAAGCTAGTTGTTGGCTAATAAAATAGTCATGTTAGGTAAAAACTAGCAGATAAGCTAGATGACAATTTTAAAATGACCTAAAAGAACATGTTGAAAAATTAATTGGGAAAAGCCCTCCTGAGCCTATTGAAATGCTACTTGAAGTGGCTTCCCAAAAAGCTACTTTATATGACTAACCAAACAACACTTCTTTAATAAGCTCAAAAAATAAGTTAGCTTATGGTTGCCAAACATGATTAGCCCAATGGGAGCAAAAATACAATTTCTATCTACTTAGAGAAGCCTGGTTGGAGATCAATAGAATTTAAAAAATCCGTGAGAGCTATATTCAAATCTTTATATACCAAAAAACTCTATTGCAACTTCCTTAGAAACACACACAAACAAACACAAAGACATACTGGATTTTCTGGATTTGCTAAAATTATTATTACAACCACGTCCCTTAAGGGACCAAAGATTTCACCTTGTACCTGAGAGATCTCAAGTTCGAATCTTTCTAACCCACATAACTCCATTAAAGCTTCCCTAATACAACCGCATACATAATTATGTCCAGTTCAAGAAAATTCACAAAGTTTGCACAAATCTAACACTCAATTAACCCTAATAATGGAGGAACAAATAAAAACTTCAACAAAAATTAATAGTAATAACATATACATAAAACCAAAAGGAGAATTCCTACCGGAGGCTCAGGTGACGAAGGAGGAGAATGATCGACTGGAATGCCAGCATCTCTAAGCAGCTTAGTCCATGAAACAATTGTTGTTTCACTCTGTTTCAAATCTATCTGAAATCGCTTCCTGTCGCTCTGCACGTCCCAAGAAGATTCGTCAACCAGCAACCGACCACCAGCACCAGACCCATCACCACCACCAGCGACACCACCACCACTCTTGTTGACGCTCTCCATTTCAGAAACTTTGAGATTAAGAAACAAATGCCCACTTTTTCTTTCTTTTATTTGTGGGTTGCACTAAGAAACAGAAGTTGAACACATATTTTTGTAAGTTCCCCAACCACGGAAAAGCAAAAACTTTAGGGCAAAGTTCACACACACACAGACTCTTAAATTGAGGTGGGTTACTGGGATTGAGGGTAATGGTTGCTGAGAGTGAGAGAGAGTCTTCAATGGCGTCGAAATGAAATGAGAGGGGTTTCAGTTGGCCAGATTTGCAGTATTTAGGAGAAGCCTTCTCTTTCGGTGTCTTATGTCAGTATCTCAATTTCTGGTCCCTTTCAACAAATCGCCAACAAATTCTCTATTAGATTTAGGTTTAATTATGATTGTTTTTTTGTGTGTTTTTTTTTTTTGTCTTTTTATTATTATTATCTTTATTTTATTATTATTTAAATTTTTTTTT